AACAAAATTTTTTTGCGAAAATCGGGTTCGGTGGCCATCTCGTTTTGGACCCGCTCACCGAAGGTGAAACGCGCTTGATGGTCGTGCGAATTTAATTCTTGCAGCAGTTAAATTTTGTAAGATCGTAAACCAAAAATCTTCCACAAAAATTTTAAAAAGCGGATGCTCTGCTCCAAAGCAGCAATAGCGTCTTCGAGGAACCGATCCATGATTACTGACTCTGCAGAGGGATTATATCGACCTAATATTCGACGCAGCGCGAATTATATATTTAATTTTGTGTCCACTAGTTATATATCAAGAAAACAACTTGATTCTTAGCTTACTTCAATCTGACTGCCTCTCGCATCAGATCGGCAACTCGAGCTTTGCTGCTATGTCCGGCTGTACTGCACATTCCAGCAAGCTCAAAATGTGCTCAGTCCGTTGTTTGGGTCACGTATTCGGGGCAAGCGATGAGGTGCAGTGCATGCCGTCGTTATACATAAGTCACGCGATTCGTCGCGCGAAACCATTATTTTGGTAATATATTTGCACGATATACAAACGTAGTTTCGAAGTAAGTCTATTAATTATGAAATGGCAAGCCAAATGAGTATAAACAAAGGTACAGTTTTCAAAAAGATCAACATGGAAAAATGTACTGCTTCATTGAAAACCACACGTCTAGGAATATACTTATTTAACCAAATAGTGCTGTTATCAGACTTAAGCCACAAACTTGTGAACAAAAATAAGTTTATTTTTTATACCACAAAATGCTGCTTTATTAGAATGCTTCGAAAATGCTGGAATAAAACTAACTTTTTGAAAACTGTACACAAAAAACTATCAAAATTATTTCCAGTTGCAGATCTTTTACACAATACCTTAGTTTCATGCAGCAACACATACTGCCATAAAGTGAGCAATTTTGAATTATTCATTATTTATAGATTTTTGCGCATAGCAATTAAATTAAATGCACTAAACTTATACAAGTATGTATGAATCTATTACGAGAATATGTTATGATATTAATAAAATTGAAATTTACATTTCCGCAGCAATTAAAATGTGGAATATTGCCAATTTAATTTTATTTGAATTAAAGCGCTATAAAATTTGTTGTAATAAAGCCATAACACAAACAAATGTTATACAGTGGCACAGTTAGTGCGAAAGTAAATTTTTTTTAATTATCGCATATTTCGAAAGTTTATATTTAAAATCAAAATAAAACAATAAAATGTTAAATAAATATTTCCAATATTCTTTAAATTACAGCCTTCTAAAATGTAGCTACTCAGTTCAATCAGCTCTTTCAGTTTATCTTTAAACGCGTTTTTCTCCCAACGAATCAAATTAGTTGAAGTACTTTCATTATTAATTTATTACATATGTGTAAATGTACGAATATGGCGTCAAAACATTAAAACATTTTACGCATTAGTTTTCTTAAAAATAATTACCAAAAATCCTTTTTAGGCGGCCACACTAGGCCTAAAAAGATATTAAAAAATGATTCAACACATTTTATATCATATCATTTTGCCATAAATAAAAAAATAAACATGAAGAAAATTAGTTAAATTACGCAAGGAAGGGCTAAGTTCGGGTGTAACCGAACATTTTATACTCCTGCAAAATGCAAGGATCAAAGCAGAGGAAATACCTTCTAGTGTGGAAAGATTTTATATTAAACAAAAAAAAAGTTATCTTTGCCTAATTTGTATCTTGATTTTAATCGGTCATTTTATATGGCAGCTATATGCTATAGTGGTCCGAATCTTGAAGAAATTGTTCCAAGATTATACCAAGAACAATTGCATTTATTTTGAATGCCAAGCCATTTATATAATTTTATAACTAAGTTATTTATATAATAAGAAAACATGTGCACTTAATTTCATTAAAACATCACACATTTTGACTAACCTTAACGGTTTAAAATCAACTGGAAGGTGGGAAATCTCTACGCAGGGCATTGCTTAGGTATACTCAAGATATTTAAAATTAAATACTAACGCACTGACATGCTTATTCGGTATAAGGTTTGTTAGAATAACAAAAATCATTATTTATGGGAGATATACCGGATTTTATCTATTATTGGCATTGCTACAAAATATTAACAGAAAAAGATGCTCTCTCAATTTCGTTAAGGTAAGGTCAATAAAACCTGGGTAAGAGAGAACTGGGTAAGCGAGAAAACTCTATCAGTGAAAATAGTTCTCAGAACCCTAACTTTGACCTCTCCAACACCATTATGAGTGAGAAACAAAAACCTCTATAAGTGACAGTCGTTTTTCCCACTCTGACCTCCATAACTGAGAGCCCCTTTTGTATTTATCTTTATAAGCGACAATTTACCTATGTATGACTGATTCTTTTATATGAGAAAAAATAATGGTCCCTTGAATGCTCTCTTAACCAGGGTTGACTGTATTTTCTTTTGTATAGTAAACTGTAAAAGCTGTCCAATTTACCCATTACTATTCCAGTATTATGACTTCCTCCGTAAACATTTGTTACGAACATGTCCAGCAAGTAAATCAAGTGAATGTATTTAAAATTCAGCTATATATATATATGTACACACACATATTAAAAGCAATCAAGTAAAGAGTCACGTCAAAGAAAATAAATAGTTACAAGGCAAAACCAAGCTAACTACCATATGTATTCATGAATATGCATTACTTCCATACACTTACTTGAACATACGGACATACAAAGCAGCGCATTCATGTATTTATATTACGTTTGCTAATATTTTTGCGTTTTGGACTTTTTGAGCTTTAAGTTTCCAGCACATAACTATGTTACATAAACGACTGTCATGAACAGAAGATACTCAGACATCCAAGCTTACGAAGAGCTGAGAGCGTTGGCAAGCCGTCAACAATGACAAACGTAAAAAAACAACGACTATGTATATTTCATTGAATAATAACAGAAGTGACAACAGCGACATAATTTGCCAATGTCTAGGGGAAAATGACTGTAGATTAAAAGTTTTGCTTACAACTGTGTAAGAGCAGTTGAAGTGCTCGCATATTTGTGTGCCTGTATGTGCACAACTATAAAACATTGCATGTCCGTGCGATAGGAATATCGAATTTTTTGTTGTTGGTAGATGAGCAAAATCGTAAATACTACTCACATAAATAGGAGTCTATTTTCATCTAAGCAAAACGTATCCATTAGCGTTTAATAAAATGGCCTGTCGACATGTGTTTTCATAAACAATATGTACATGTTGCTGTTTTTGTAACTAAACACTGACAGAGGCTGATTAGAAGCGTGAAAGAAGAGAGATGTATTGTTCCGAGCATTTTGTCATTTCCAGTCTGCTGCTTTGGAGTTGTCCATTATGCGTTTGTCCACGCTTACGAATACCAATTTATTAATGGCAGAGTTAAATTGTAAGAAGGGGAAAGCGTGGACAACTTTTGTTGGGGGAAAGGTGTGATTCAATTACCTTATGTTTTCATTTCTTCATGTAATACAATACTTCCTTTGTTTTGCTTGATGGGATATTCAATAACTTTTATTCAACATTATGAGCAAACTATGCCTTGAATTAAAATTAATTTCTAAAATTCTCGTAGAAAGACAAACTTCAAATTCTTATAATAGAAAAAAATTAATCGACTTTTCTGTGTGCACTAAATTTCAGGGTTCATGCCGAATGAAAGCCTTTCTGACCGATACAAAGAGTTTTATACTTTCTGGATATTTCATTAGATAATTTCTAAGATAATTAAATTATTCTCCCCTCTAAAAAGAATTTAGAATCACCGCTGCAACAACAACAACAAATGAAAATACACGAATTGCAAACAAATATCCCGATCTATTGAGAGTTTTTACTTCTATACTTTAACTAAGACGTTTACTCACAACAGCGTGGATATCCTAGGACCTACAGTAGACCACACTAATTACTTTAAAATATGAACCAATCTTTGATATAAATTTGACTAGTAACTTCTTCTTTTGGAGTTTAATTAAATTTATTTAAACGCAGGGATGCAAATAATGCATTAAAAAGACAATTTATTTGACATTTAAATAAAATATTTTTATTATTTTGTAACTACGCAAATGTTAATTAAAAATAAATTAACAATTTCTTGTCCGAAATATCGAAAAATCAAAAATTATAAACTCGGGACTGAAATAAATTAATCTAAAGTTTAATACTAAATTAAACTAAAATTTATTTCTGAATTTTAAATTATTTTGCGCTTTTTCGTGTTCTATCATTTGGTTATCTTTGTAAAAGTATAAAAAATTTCAACACATTTCTACATTAACATTTAAAATTACGTTTAATTACTTTTATTGATAGACTTTCAGGTAGAAATAAGTAAACTTCTCTTTTCTACATTTTACATTACACAATTACTAATTAGTTGATTTTTTTCATTCATTTATCACTCCAAGTTTTTAATTAAAAAAAATTTATAAATTTTTAGTATTTTGTGATTCAAAATTAAATTTTCAATTTGAATAATGTTTTGTACTTTTAGAATTAAAAATTGATTCCATAATTATTTTTTTGGGAAAGATTACTTAATTATTTTAGCGAAAGAGTTTTTAAATTAGATTTTTCTGAACACCACGTCACTAAGAAAAATACAACCTTTTTCATTATCCCCTCTCATTTCTGCTAGGTTCTCTAAATAGTTCGTAGTAAGCATCAGAGCGCCATAGATGGTCCTTTAAATTCCAAAGCCATGAGAAATGTAATGTATTCCTTTCTATTACTAATTGGCAACATAATATTTGGAAATTAATGTACATAAGTAATTGGTTGTCAAATAACAAAAATAATTAATTAAGTAAATTAATTTAATTATATATGTTTGCATAAATATTATGCATAAAAATGCAAATCAAATAAAATAAATTTCTTTTAATCAGTAATACAAATTATTTGTTTTTAATATACATATGTACGTATCTACATACATACATATATAGATACCAAAATACGAATTTTAAATTCTTACCTGGTTAATCGTTGAACATTTGTACATACACATTCACTTTTCTTGTTGTAATTCACAAAAACAACACCGCATACAAATAAACAAACACTTTTAATCACCTTCCATTTCTTCACACTTAATTTTCTTTTATTATGGAATTTATCAAGCTAATATTTAAGATATTTCACTACTTTTAGTTTTTATTCACCTCTAGATTTCTTAATTGCACATGCAGTCTGATATTAAAGCATAGTTTTTCACAATGACGCTTCTTTATGCATGCTCAGCGCAGGTAACGGCGCCTACCCTGCTGAGAGTGGCTATCATTTCCACGTGCGTTTTGTTGCATTTTATGTACAAAGAAAATTTGTTTTGTTTTTATTTTTGCTATTTTTGCTACTATTACAATGCTGTATAATTTTGCTCTACTGACCGTTGTTATGCAAATAAAAAGTATTATTGTATCAAAGGGATAGCAATTACATTCACTATTATTATTATTGCATTTTTTATGGAGCTGTTTTATATTAAATATAAATTAATTTTTGTGTAATTTGAATTTTCGTTTTAATTACATCTTTTTTAATAATAGTGTATAAAAACCAAATACCGTATCACATTTTCATTAAAGTGTTAAAGAATGACATGTAGGGATCAAATGTATAGCTTTTATGATGACATATCTTAATTTTATACTTAACAATATGTAAATAATAAAAGTAGTTCAAAATTAAATGATTATCAGGGATGGAAATAAAGCATTTAAAAACAATTGCATTAACATTTCAATTGTAATTTTTTTTTTTAATTTGCCATCACGAAAAAACTTAAATAATTTTTTTTTTTGTAATATTTAGTGCTTCACTTAAAACTATGTAAAATTACTCTTATTATCGTATTTCATTCCAGCCTATAATTAGACAAATATTGATTTTATATATTACCTAAATTTTTAAATCAAAAAATATTTTTTCAATTTTTAAGCCAAGATGTTTGGAATTCAAATTTAAATTTATAATTTTTGTTACTAAATTAAAAAATTAAATTTAAAATTTTTAATCATAAAATCGGAATAATTTATTTTTTAATCCCTCGTGACTACCTAAAAAAAATTTCTATCAATTTATATAAACAATGCTTTACTTTCCTACTTATGTAACTGGTTGCTCTATTGTTTCCTTCATATCACTAAAAGGTTCTTAAAATTATATATTTTCAATCCTTTACTCTATGTCTCATTAAGATAGCAGCTGGCTTGTATTTTATTTTATTTTTTCTTTTGGCTCACTGAGAGGAATACTCAAGAAGCATTATTTCTCATAAAGACATTAGAAACACACAAAAACTTCATAACAGGCTGCTGTCTGCTGTATGCATTTTCCTAAACCTCTTACTTCAAACCATAGAATCGATGTCTTTGTATTGTCAATGTGCGAAAGAATGGAAAATATATTTAATCAATTGATTGTCGCATAATAAAACTAAAATATATTATTATACAATTAAAATCAATATTATTTGGAACTGATAGTAATATAGTATTTAATAGTGGTATAGTCTAAAATTAAATTTGAATGTACAGGAATGAGTAATTGGAATTCGTGCTCCATAATTTTTGCATAATACCTTTGCACTACAAATTTCCGTTTTCTTGTGATTAAAGCACTGTTTTGCCTTCACTTTTTTTAAATTTATTTCTGTAATTGCTTTTCGAGAACTAATTGCTATAATAGCTTCTCACTAATCAACACTTTGTTCAGCACATATTTTTTCACTTTACTTTTTTCACATTTCATCACTTTTCACTACTTGGCACTTTATTTTCTTATAACTTGGGGTTTTATTACTATTTTAATTAAGATTTTTTCACTATTTTAAGTTTTTATTCACCTCTAAATTACTTAATTGCTATTACAGTCCGATATTGAAGCGTCGTTTTTCACAATGACGCTCGTTTATGCGTGCACAGCGCAGGTAACAGCGCCCACTCAATGCAAGGCAAATTCATACATATTTACCTCTCTACTGAGAATGACTGCTTTTGTTTTATTTTCAATAGTGTTTTTTATTTGTTTTTGTTCTTGTTTTGTTTTTTATTTGTGCTTTCGTGTAAAGGAAATTACTGTTTTTTTTTCTGGACTTCGTTATGCAAATAAAGAGTAGAATTATGTACATTATATGTACAAGTTTGTATATAAAGGGAGCAAGTATCACATTTCTTATTTATAAAGTTATTATTGTTATGTTTGTACACAAATATGTATATTAAAATTTATAAATTAGAAATTAATTTATTTATTTTGTAGTTTTTAAATTTTTGTTAACTTAACCATATTTTAAGAAAAATAGTGTTATTTAATTTATTATTATTAAAAATTAAAAGAAATATTCTAATTAAAAATATAATTTATGTATGTGTATGAATAATCCTAAATTTTCTTTGTTATATATGTATATTACTTTTATTCCCTTTTAATTTGTATTTTTTTACTTATATGGTCTCTCTTTTCAATTTATTCTTAATCGAAATAAGACTTAGTATTAGTACACCTCTAGCTCAACATAGTAAGCACGCGTAATAAAAATGTACAAGTAGATATCAAATACAATAATTTTTTTTTTAATTTTTAATTATAAACTTGGGACAACATTTTTTTTCTGTAGAAATAAGCCAACTTGATTCCTCAAAAAATGTGGTGAGTTCGGATTACTTCATACATACAATATATATAAGCTACAATGACTGAATTAACTTGAAAGAGAGCTGAAAGATCAGAGAATGGAGAGAGGTTGTAGTTGAAAAACAGCACACTACTTCTCTCTAAGAGTTTAAGTTTAGTTCATTCGTATTGTAAGAGAGGACTGATTGACGAGAAAAAAGGATAAGTGAAAATATATATGTATGTATACATGTGTATATATTTAATTTAATAAAAAGTGTATTGTTTTATCACCATACATTTAAATATGTGATGCTATAAACAATCCGGATTAGAAATTTGAAAATTAATTTTTTTAAAGAATTTCGTGACTACAAGATAATGTTAATTCAATTATTTTTTAAGCATTATTTCCAACCAGGATTCCGAATTTATAATTAAAAAATGTTGCATTAAAAATTAAATTTTCATTTTTTATTCTTGATGTCCACGAAAAGGTGTTAATTTTAAAACAATTTCTATTTTTAATTCTTAATTATATATATGGGATTGAAATGTTTCCTTTTTTCAATCCGTTTTGTGGAATCAAATTTTTTATTTTTATTTTTTACTCTGGTATGTGGGATTAAAATTGTTATACCATGAACAGAGTATATTAAGTTTACCACAAAGTTTGTAATACCCATAAGGAAACATCAGAAACCCTATAAAGTATTGTATATACTCGTATATGAATGATAAGCGTGATGAGCTGCGTCGATTTAATCATCAATTTTGAGATATGGATCTGAAATTTTGGACAGGTCCGGAGCCCTACAGCATATAGCTTCCATATAAACTGAATAAAAAGGTTGAATGGAAAGCGTTTTGATTTGTCGAGATATCTTCAAGAAATTTGGTTTGGACTATTGTCTAAGACAATGGTGCCATCTCTGAAGAAATTGTTTAAATCGGATCCCTATAGCTTATACTTAGCTGCAATACAAACTGACCGATCTAAATCAAGTTATTTTAATGAAACTTTTGTACTCGTGAAGGGTATTATATGCAGCCCTGTTTGCAACCCTGCTTATCTTCCACATCAATAAGTTAGACGTATTTCAAAAAGCTCAAGACAAAGACGCTTTGCCAAAGTAATCAAGTATAACATGTATGGTGTATTTCCAAAATTTACCTTCAAATTGATTTTTGTCATATTTTATTGAGCCATTTTAATATTATGTTACCATTCCATCAGATATTACACGCTTCAATATGAAAAGAATAAACTTAATTTCAGCGAATTACAAGAAGTTTAGAGCTCAAAGTCGATAGTGTTGAGGACTCAACTCGAAATGCAACGAATGTTACGTATACGCACTGTTGCATTTGAGCTTTGGCAGTGGCCTCCAATGGCACTTCAACAAAGCCATCACCACATACTTGTCAGATAGTAAGCGCAGTAAGTGGCCACGTCACTCAGCGTTTGAGCACAACAGGTGGCAGATTTGCGTCAATTAAAATGGATGTACATACATACAAACATTCGTACATACGTTAGTCTTGTACAAACATATATAGTACTCTGAAGTGGTCATACAGATTTCTGCGCAATTTGGCACTGACGAAACCCCAGTTTTCCGCGAACTTGCATTCAACCATAATTGAAGCACTACTTCAGGATGCGCAACAAATATGGCAACCACACAATTGAGCGGTGGATTTTTTTCGGCACGACGTGGGGAAGCTTCAAGTGCATACATGATTACGTGATATATGTGAGTACATATATCTGAATTTGTATATAGCATGTTGCAAACACAGGCATGGTCATTAATTTTGGCTGTCTCTTCGTGAAAGTGAGCAACAGAGTTGCAGCAATGAATTAATACATACAAAACTGTCCATCTGTTGCTGCTTATTTATAGCATATTAGGACGGATCATTTTCTTGACGAAAATCCTCAAAAAAAATTAATATTTTATTGGTGATACAAAAGTTTTATATATATGTTTCTTACAAAAATAGTTTAAAGAAGCTTTACCGAAAAGGTTTACTTGACAGAGTTGCCACCACAATCCAATTTTTTTTTAATATACCTTTTTTTAAATTTACAATTGACTGTGAATAAAATATGTTTAAAATACTTTTTAAGAATTAAGTTGACCAACACGGTGTATTTGTGTTGCCACCTTTTTATAAAAATAGCCTTATATATTAGTTATTATATTATAAATAAGAAATTAAAAAACTTTAGTAACCAATGCTCAGAAAAAGGCGTTTGAAATTACAAATTAAAGAAGGATTCAGCAAAACTTTAACAATTATTCAAGATATTCTAAGACAGCTGCAATATTAAGTCTTGGTAAAAGGTTTCATTTTATAGAGTTGCAATATTGTTAATAACCAGATTATAATAAAAATTGTATTAATATTGTATATATAATACAAGTATGTTTAAATATTTCTATGAAGTTTAAAAAACAACATTCAATATTTTTTTTTAAGTTTTTAGTAAATTATAGTGTTGCCACCCGGCTTACGCAAATAAAAAAATTAAATTTTTAATGACTTCACTAAACAACGTTTAATATTTTCAAATGATTTTATTAAATTATAGAGATGCTATCCGAATATAAAAAAATATAAAAAATATACATAAGAAAATTTAAATATTCAATGATTTTAATAAACAAAGTTCAATATATCTTTAGATTTATTACATTGCTATTAAAAAATATAAAGTATTAACCTTTAATGGCAGCGTTACTAAATCTGAAATTCAGTTATTAAATAATTTACAAGATAATTTACTTTTACTGGATAACTTTATGATTAAAAATTGTTGAGATACATGCTTATTTGAATAATCGGATAACGGGTAAGAGAATTTAGATCAAATATTATATATCGAAAAAAATTTTTGTTGTAGATTTTCTGTAAAATAATATTGACAATATCTCGAAATCGTTATTAGATATTTAAAACTACAATAAATACATATAACCCACCCTAATACTGTAAGCAGTCACGTTACTAATACTATCCTTCTCTTGATTATATGTATGTGTGTATATGTTTATACCGTTTACTCAGACTTTATACTCTCCGCTTATAGATACACTACTTGTGGCAGTGATAAACGCCGCGTGTTGAGCGTGGCGCTGGACGCACTTTTACAACAAGCGCAGTGTACTAGCAACAACAACTCGACTATGACACATTAAATGCGTGCTTAAGTGCCACATTAAGTGTGTAATTTACAGCTAGCAAAGAGCTCAGCCTATCAGCCGCAAGGAACTTACCATAATCACCAACGGCCCTACCGCCGCTGTGGCACATGTGCAACGGCGCAGCATTTTATAACCTTCCGCCTATTAGTGGCGCGCGGTCAGCGTTTGCTTGCGTTAGCTGTAAAACTTTGGGGCGCGTAACTATTTATGAGCGATAAATTAACGTCAGGTCGCCGAAATTGTCGTCGCGGTCTTTTGTAATCGCACAAACAAAGCGTGAGATATGAACAGCGCAGTTCGAAGGTCAGTTGCCGCCAAGTCCTTTTTATTAGCAGGATTTTCATAATTTACTCATCGTTACCTGGCACAATTGCGCTTAACAGGCGTTAATTAGGTTGCTTTAAATATTTGTTATTGTGTCGTTTTAATTGTTATTGTGGACCTAAGCGTTGACAATACCTTAGACTTAAGTTTCATTTAAGGTAGCAAGCATTGTATTTTCTTGCTTTTATGCATAAATAATAAAAATGATAAAATGTTTGTGGATGAAAAGCACAATAGCTTAACTCGACTTTGATAAGTTCTGGAAAAATACATTACAACTAATTATTTTGATTTATTGTATTCACCCGTTGAGCCACCCATCACCCACCCGCAACATGTACTGCGGGGTATCATCAATTTGCAAGCCTGTGTCTGACTTTGTACCAAAACAAGAAAAAACGTTAACTTCGATTGCACGAAAGGCACAATACCCTTCAAGAAAAACAAAAGATTACTCACAAGAACTTGATTCCAATCGTTCCGCTTGTATGGCAGCTGAATTCTATAGTGATCCGGTCTGAACAATTTCATTGCAGTTTGTATCATAGCGCTGGGCAATAATCTGTGCCGAATTTTGTGAAAATATCTCGTCAAGTGAGAAACGCATTTGATTTCGAACATTCTGTTTGTATGGCAGCTCGTCACTCTGATCATTTATATCTACACTTTATAGGGTCTCCGAGGTTTACCCTCTGGCTATTACAAATTTCTCTTCTGTTAAAAATGGGTAAAATCGAGACAATAGTTCTCCAAGCCCTAAATATCTAGCATTAAAATTTCCGAAGTTCCGGTTGACTTTATATCATCTATT